TACATCAGAGCAGGGCAGTTGTCATTTGCACCTTTGTTCCATAGAAGTAGCTCATCAAAATATGCATTGATAGATCTACACGACAGGTGAGTGGCATTAAATTGTTTGAATTTGAGGCCCATGTCGATCCGTTTGGCTTTGCAGCCAATATTTTATGGGTCGCACTGCAAAAATATAACATGGATCTTCAAGGCCACATGGGTGAAAAGGGGTCTTGAGATAAACTGTCAAATGTTGCCCAAAAATTTTGTATTGTTAAGTGTGACAAACAAAACCAAAAAATTTGAGCATAGCCTTGAAATCGAAAAAAGGCATAAGCCAGCCACGATTAACTATTAGCCCATTTTACTTGTACATTGTAGCAGTACACACATTTTGTAACTAATAGTAATAAACTTTTACATGTAAAATTTTGTACATTTACATTTATTGGATAATCAAAAGGTCCTGATAATCGATGTCCGGATAAACGAGGTTCGGCTATATTTCTGTTTTTTGTTAACTTGTGTACTAATGGTGAGCAATCTGACTGTCAGGTGGTAGGTGTATTGGGTGTGACAAGTCTTGCATTGATGCCTTGGTTCGATGTAGTCTTGGGCATGGTTCCTGATTACATGCACGGCTGCTTATTGGGAGTCACCAAAACCCTCCTTTACAAATGGTTCTCAGCAACTAACCACAAGAAACCATACTTCATTGGAGGACAGGTACTGCAACGAGACCATCTTTCACCCTTCATTTTGGTGCTGATTTGCAGCTTTTTCTATGTTTGGATTGTTATCTTCCTTTCTGGAGGCTCCTCATATACATTTGCACAATATAGAGTTGATAGAGTTGTACATGTATGATTTTGATTCTGTCTTTTTTATCAATGCAAATTATTTTGCCAAGTACATTTCTTTAATTGGGTATTTACTTTAAAGATTAATTTCTGAAAATTATTGCATTGGCTATATGCCTTCAAAGCTTTGACATTCCTTTTGGAACATCTGAGTTTTAAATTACCGGTACTTAGTCCAAGAGTAACTTTGTAATAAAAACTTTCTCACAGATTAAACATGTCAACAAGCGGATACTGAAGATGAAACCTCCAGACTTTCTTACCTGCCTGCCACGAGACATAGAGAAGCATTTCAAAAATTTGAAAGGTGTGTTCATCCTCTGTAATTATAGGTTGTTTTTATTTTAAATTGAGACTTTTGGGACTAATTATGTATACTCATTTTTGTTGCAGCATCTGAGTTACAGTCATGGCTTCTGTATTATTCACTTCCATGTTTAGTTGGTTATCTTCCTGACAAGTACCTTATCCATTTTGCACATTTGGCAGAGGGCGTCTTTATTCTTCTTGGTGATGCCATAACACCCTCACAGCTTGGTAGGGCGCGTGACCTCCTACAGGCTTTCTACAAAGATTTTCAAGCTTTGTATGGTAAGGAAAAGGTTTATTTTCTCTTTTCAACTGCCAAATATAAGGAAATAAGTGAATTTAATAAGTGCCCCTAAGCTCTGAAAACCGATTCAGAACAAAAGTAGAATATAATTATAGTTCAAGTGTTTAAGTATAATGTAGGTGAAGGAAAAAGAAGCAGTCTCTTTTTGTGTCTCATACAAGTGTTTGAATGAGCAACATGCATGTGGGATCATGTATATGAATAAACGTTGCAATAGGAACACTAGAAGTGAAATAATAATAATAATAATAAAGGTGGAATAATATTAATATTTGAAATGGATAGTGTCCTGCTTTCCATGTGCAATGTCATAAGAAAAAAATATAGGTTATTAATATGTTATAATCCAGTTTAGTATCAACAGAAGTCATTACAGTATTACAATTTCTATAACTGTAGATGACAATGCATCGGGAAAACATAATACATGTTTTCTTTCTGTGCATAGCAGAGGCCATGTAACTCAAAAATATGTACTGTGTTTATTACCTGCTGTTATTTTGAATGATGACACGAATCACATTTTATCTCTAAAGGAGATGGCAGTTGTGGTCTAAATGTTCACAACACTGGAGCTCATTTAGTGGAATATGTTGAAGGATGGGGACCTCTGTGGGCATGGTCCACATTTGGCTTTGAGGATATGAACGGGACTATTATGGATTTGACACATGGAACAGGAAATGTTTGTAGACAGGTACCAATAAGAACAATCCTATATTTATCTCTAACAAAGACAAGAAAAGGTGTGCAGTTGCAGTTATTTCTCACAAAAAATCAATGTTAGATTTGAAAAATGTCATTACTGGCATAAACATCCTAATTAGCATCACGACGGGCCGCACATATAGTGTTCTACCCGAAAGCAATAGTATTGGCTATTACTCTGCTGTCCCTTGCCCATTCTATTGCTACTCATATCCACCCTCCTGAGCACCTTGAAAAAGACAGAAGCTGATCATCTTTCTACAATAATTGCTATGTCATAATGCTTAACTTTTTTTAGGTGATTTGGATGCTTCATGCACAGAGTAAATTAAGGTGTGAAGTAGACCTGTTAGAAGATGATGCTATCAAGGAGTTTGTTAAAAGAATGCTGAAAACCAAAAGAGAGTAAGTGATTTTCATCAGCATGATTAAATTATTGATAATCTTCCTGTACTGTTTTATTCATTTAGTTTTGTTTTTTGTTTAAGGGTGAAAAATCTAAAGGAAGCAAAGAATTGCCACATTGCAGGGGGAGCCAAAAAACTGACCGGGATATCACCAGAGTTAATGGCAAAGATAAACTTGGAAGTCAAAGGCGAGGCATTGATGAAAGTGCTGAGAATTGTCAAGAGTGGCAAAGTGTTTTACTCCAAGGAGTATACCAGAATGGTTGATAGCAATGCCCATGTTGTGTTGTTCCAATCTGGCAAAGTGGGAGAAATAGAGTTCTTTGTTTGGGATAGGCAGACTGGAATCACGGTGGCAGTCTTCAGCGAAATTCAGCCTGATCTTGAAAAGCCATTCTTTTTTTGTGAAGCTGGTCATCACACATTAAGAATGAAACAAGAAAGGTATTATTTCACTTGACATGTGTGTATTATAAGGTTTAGATTAGTTACCTTAAACATGAAAGTTTCCTTAGTTGCATGGTTAACTGCTATAGAGAGGAGAGGGTGCAGGGGGGGGGAGTTTTTTCTCTCGCCACCCTTTCCCTGCCCCCTATAACTTGACTCAACTCAACTCCAAGACTTTCTTGGAATTCAATATGCAGTTACACAAGCAAAAACACTCAGGTACCCAGGTACTTTGTGCTTTATGTGGCCGTTTTATGGGGCTATATAGCTATTCCTTCAATCTTTAGTAAAAGTCAAAATCAGCCTCTGATTTCAACTTCAAAAAAAGCAATCTAATTCAAGACTTTCTGACATACCATGTGTGTTGTGTGCAATTTTGCTTTTAGGTTGGATTTTCAAATTCAGAGGATTGAAGCCATAAAGGAAAAGGTTTTGTTCCTTTAAGGGAATCAAGACAGCCCATGTCTTGTGCGTTTGCCTAATTTCCGTGGAGTATGTGGATAAACAACGTTCATTTCAGACTGGAAATGCACTTCATATTTTTAAAAACGAGACTTCTCATTTCAGACAACATTTTGCACTGCAAGTGTACTGGACATGTAACAGCTTTAAATATTTATTGCTGTAATATGCTGTAATAATGTAATTTAGATAAGTTAAATTGTTATCTTAATTTAAATACTGGTTGGAGGTTTGTGAACAGCATTCGCCACATGTCAGCATTACCAGATTAGGTAACATTGGGTTGAATATAAAAATGTAAGTATGGAAGTATACATTACCAGTATGTTCTGCATTATAAGTTTAGAATTGTTTCAGTGCAATCACTTAACAAAATTAAAATGTGAAAAAATAAGAAAAGACTACGAAATCTTCTACAATTTTTAAAGTCTTTCTGATTTTTAAACATCCTAATTTGCATAAGTTAGAATTCCTAGGAATTCCCAGGAATTCCAAGCCCAGTTGGCCTGAATTTTTCTATTCCCAGAAATTCTCAACAATTCTTAGCTTCTAAAATTGTAAAACTTAGAATTCCTAGGAATTCCTAGGAATTCCAAGCCTAGAGTGAGACCTAATTTGCCATTCCCAAAAATTCTCAAGAATTCCAAGCTTATTTGATGAAGGCTCATTTGCATAGTTGGGAATTTTTGGGAATTTCTAGGAATTCTCAAGAATTCCTAGGAATTCCCAGAAAGCTGGGAATTCATTTCGCAAGGGTGGTTGCTCTTGACTGGCTCCGAATTGTCAGAAATCTTGGAAATTTGAGCAAGGTTTGTTTACCTTTTTTACTTGCATGTGTGTACATATATATCTGTTAGCAGGCACCAGATAAAAAAAATGTCATCTATGTAATCTGGTAGCTGCTAACAGGGGAAGTAGACATGTGGACGTGTCTTTTCATGCCGGATGATAATATTATTTTAACTCTTGTAGGCTGGGACATGACATTTATCTTGTAACTAAAAAATATTAATTTTATAATCTTAGTTCCTGTTTGCTGGACTTTTCATACACATGTTGCAGATGAAATTGTAGCAAATGATGGGACCATCTACATGTATTAGGGACACCTTTCTGTTGTAGAATCACTGTGGCATTTACTTTCAGATATTTTACATAAATATTGAAATGTTTATAACAATATCACTATAGGTGAGAAACTGGTTCTTCACC